GTACTTGTGAACAATATCCTTTTATCTTGTTTTATTTGTGAAAAGTACTGGAAACACCAGTTGTGCCTAAATACCATGTTAAATGTATTTTCTTATGAATCTTTTAAGTAGATCATTTTCACTGTTGTCAGATATTTCTGAAGGTTACTTCCATTTACATTTTTTTAAGTTTCAACTTTGTAACCCTATCAATATGTCCATTACAACTGTTCAAATATATAGTAAACATATTTATAAGTAGTTTCTCAGTCTCCTACTCCAGGGGTGCTCAGTCTGCAGCCTGCCGGACGTGGCATCTGGCCTGTAGAGCTCCACATGTGCTGGAAAATTTGGCATTGGGAGTGGTGGCAATTAATACGGCCACCCTCCCTTGCTGCCAAATTCTCAAACTCCAAGCTGCTTCCCCACCATGCAGCTGGATCAGGGCAGAGCAGTCAGGTTCAGCCACTTCAGCTTCCTCCCCTCCACTGTGCCTTACTCCTTTTCCATATACCCCCACTGTCTGTGGGGCCAGGTTGAGGCTGAGCTGTCCCATGCCCTCTTCCATGTGGCTGGATGGGATTTTGCCATGCCCATCCATGTGCCCAGATCAAGACCACCAGCTGGATCTGGCCTGATCAGGCACTGCTATCTGGCCCACTGGGCAAAAGGGTGTGCACCAGTGTCCAACTCTAAAGAAGTTACAAAATATATTAGTTGTCAGTTGGAGAACAGAATTATAAAATTTCAGTTTGAAAAGTCAGAGTTTTAAAACTGCAAGTTATTAAAAGTGGTCAGAAAAGAAATCTTAATAGCTGTCCTGCCTGCTATAATATAATTATCTTTTTTATTGCTAAAAGTGCATCTTTCTTTAAGACAATTACATTTTCTGTAGGAAGTTTCATTAAATGTTCAGTGTTTAAATGTTGAGCGCATCCTCGGCATTGAAGGATTATTTCAAAAGAAATCTTATGAGGTTCAGTAAGGAGAACTGCGAAGTCCTGCACTTAGGGCAGAACAATCCTTGGCTAAATAGGGAAATCCAGGGGAGCCGAAGGGCAAAAAAGAAGGCATACAGGTGGTAGAAGCAATGGGGAAGCTACCAAGAAGGAGTATACGTACTTGGCCTGCACTTGCAGGGAGGCAGTTAGGAAGGCCAAAGCAACTACAGAGCTGAGGCTGGCAACACAAATTAATGACCATAAAAAGTCTTCTTTTAGGTATGTAGGGAGTAAAAGGAAGGCACAGGGCAGCATAGGACACCTTGCTGAACAAAGAAGAGCAATTAGTGACGGGGGGGGGGACAAGGGTGAGCTATTCCATGAGTTTTTTGCCTCCATGTTCCTGAACAGGGCTCAAGATAAGTCTCCTATTGGGTTCTTAGATGGTCATCAGCGGGACACCGGCCTACCAACTGTTGACGCTGACTTGGTGCAGTGTCACTTGGATGGCCTGGATGTGTTCAAGTCAGCAGGCCTGGATGAGCTGCATC